ATTGGGGGGGGCCCCAGAGACTGCCTGCCAGCCTGGGGAGCCCCGTCGGGTCCAGGGTGCCTGCTGACCTGGCTGTCCCCACAGTTCTGGGAGTCGACCTCCCAGTCGTCCCCGGAGACTTCTGGCATCAGCTCAGCATCTAGCAGCACCTCATCCTCGTCGGCCTCCACCACGCCCGTGGCCACCATGCGGACCCACAAGCGCTCCGTCTCTGGGGTCTGCAACTACAGCTGCTCACTGCCCCTGTACAACCAGCAGGTGGGCGACTGCTGCATTGTGCGCGTCAGCCTGGATGTGGACAACGGCAACATGTACAAGAGCATCCTGGTGAGTGGGCGCAAGTGCAGCCGGCACTGGCCAGCCAGGTGCAGAAACGGCGTAGGAATGTGGCCCGCGCAGAGCGGGGGAGGCAGGGAAGGGGCAGGGCTGGGCTCCGGGTTGGGGTGCGCCAGGCCCAGTTGCACTCGAGGACTTGGACTTTCTCCCGGAGGGAGGCTGGGGCTGCTGGAGGCCAGGGCAGAGGAGGGGCTGGTGCTGGGGGAGGCAGGGAGGTGAGCTGGAGGCTGCAGTTGGAGTTCAGACCTGAAGCGTAGGCCACAGCAGCCTGATGACGGGAGGAAGCCGTGGCAGGAGTCTGGGCAGACCTGAAGATGGGGCTGGTGGGATTTGCTGCAGAATGTGGATGTGGAAGAGGAACGGCTCAGGGCCTAGCTAGCCAGAGATCCAGCTGCACTGACCATTGCAGCCTCCAGCCCAGCACAGGCCTGGCATGGAGGGGGCGTGCGGCACCCAGCCAGCCCTTCTACCTCCTGGGCTAGACAGCGTCCACTCCTGCACTCGTTAATACTGTGTTCTGGAGGGACAGCACGAGGGGCAGCAGCCCCAGGCCAGACCGCTTCCCGAGTCTGTGTGGAGGTGGCAGACACCATAGGAGAACAGTGTAGGGCAGCTGGGAGGCCCCTCCTCACTGTATGGAAGCTGCCCTGGGGAGAGGAGAGCATGCTGGGCGCCTGGGGCCCACACCCCGCCAGAGGCCACGTGCCCGAGCTCAGCGCTGAGGTGGTGCCGAGGGATACTTGTCATGATGGCCTGCCTGTCCCCACCGCAGGTGACCAGCCAAGATAAGGCTCCAGCGGTCATCCGCAAGGCCTTGGACAAACACAATCTGGATGAGGATGAGCCGGAGGACTACGAGCTGGTGCAGGTCATCTCGGATGAGCGGAGTGAGTTGGAGGGTTGGGCACACAGGCCGTGAGGAAGGACTGAGGCCAGCATCATTCCCAGCCCTGGGCCGAGGCTTTGGCCCTGGAAGGGACTGCAGCGGGGTAGCAGGGGTCCCTGTGGCCCTGGGTACCCTAGTGTCTCCTCTCTGTCCCCAGGGCTGCCAACCCTCCATCCGGTGCCTTTCTGTGGTGTGACAGGCAGCTCAGAGCTGAATTGTCCCCCTGAGTGGTGAGGACAAAGCTTTCTCAGTGGGGCCAGGTGACCGGTCAGAAGGGACTTTGGCTAAGAGGAAGATGGGTGCTTCAGAAAGAATCGTGCCTGCCTGGCTGAGACGCCACGTGTTGGGAGCCAGGAGCGTGTGACCGAGAGCACAGGCCGCTGGGAGCCAGCTCAGCATTCCAGAAACTGGGAAAGGGAGGGGGGAATGGCAAAGGTGTGAACCCTGGCTGCGTTTTTTAAGTTCTCTCATCCCTGAAATGGAAGGGAAAGCAGCCGGGCTCGTTCCCAGACCCGCAGGGGCACATGCTGTCTCCATGCGCAGCATGCCAGCCGGGGTTGTCCTTTCCAGCCAGCCAAGCGCCGTTCAAGCCTGTGGCCAGGACAGTCAGCAGCCCTCCCACCCCTCCTGTGAGGGAGCGGCCTCCTCGCCCTCCTGCAGCTCCTGTGCTATTTCGGTTAGGCGAGCGGGGAAGGTGGGACCCCTGTCCTACCCAAAGGAGGACCATGCGCAGCGAAGGACCTAGGCTCAGAGCCACTGGCTGATTGCAGCACAAGGGCCAGCGAGACCAGTGAGAAGTGGGAGCTGAGAGGAGGTGCCTGCTGGGTTCTCAGTGCCCACGGGGTGGTGGAGGCCTTTCTGGAACCAGGCACAGGGGACCTGGCCGAGGCCTGCCCCGTTTGGGTTCTTGAAGACTGTCCTAAGTGGGCAGGACTCGGGGGAGGTCTGGATTCTAGAGTGTCGATCCAGCCGGAGGTCCCCACTGGCAGAGGCAGCAGTGTCGGGGATGGGCGAGCCATTGCCATGGCCGGGCTGGGGAGTTCGGAGTCCAAGCCCCTCCCCTTTTCTTTTTTAGACCCACCTCCCCACCCCCCAATGAAGAGAAGCTGCTCTTTATTGCTCAGGGGCTGGCAGGGCTCAGGAGCTCTTGGTGGGGTGGGTCTGCTTCCTCTTCACCCTCCCGGCTTCGGGCTGTGCAGGATGTGGCTGGCTCTGGGATGGCAGCCACGCACAGGTCCGGGCGGTACTTGTTCTTGTGGCTCATGTGCTGGATGCTGCCGAGGGTGGCCCAGGCGTTCTTGTAGCTGGTGGTCCACAGGTAGGAGGTGGCCGGCTTCCGCTGGCCAGACCACCACGCCTTTGCCTTTGGCCACCGGCTGCATGCCCACAGTGTGGCGCGGGTCAGCCCGTTGTAGCGGAAGGAGCTGCGTACCTCCTGGTTGCAGGGCTCGGTGCTGTAGGTCTGCTTGTTCCTCTTGATCAGGAAGCTGGAGCAGTTCCGCACGACTGCACTGTAGGTGTGCGGACACGGTGAATCCTGTCGCCGCGGCGGCCGGAGACGGAAAGAACCTTTTAGATTTTTATTGTAGGGCACGTGCATTGTCAGAGAGCAGAGAGCGAAGTCTCGCTCCGGGAGATGGGTGCACACACCCTGCGTGTTTTTCAAGCCTCTGGGTCCGAGACCGTAACCGTGGAGCGGGCCGCGTGGTCCAGCACCTTAACCACCACCCTAACGGCCCCGAACCCCTTTGTAAACCAGAGCCATTAGGTTTTGCTAGGACCTCAGCAGGGTCATGAGAGGGGCTCTCGGTGGTCCCAGAGTTGGACTGGGGTTGTCTCAGGACCGTAGCTCAGCCCTGACCTTGGTGGGGTGCTCAGTGTTGGGGTGGCCCCCCGGGGACCCCATGAGCTGAAGACCCTCTTCCCTGGCCCCACAGAGCTGAAGATCCCTGAGAATGCCAACGTGTTCTACGCCATGAACTCGACTGCTAACTACGACTTCGTCCTGCGGAAGCGGACCTTTGCTAAGGGGCTGAAAGTCAAGCATGGGGCCAGCTCAACCCTCCCTCGCATGAAGCAGAAAGGACTCAAAATTGCCAAGGGCATCTTTTGAGGACACCCGAAGGCCTACTGGCTGGGCAGCTCGACACTTACAGACTGGCTGGGCCGGGCCGGCCGCGACCTCTGCCCACCTGCCAGCCCGGGCCACCCAGCCTCATTCGTCCCGAGCCTCTCCTCCGCTGGGATTGACGCCTGCCGTTGAGCGGGCTGACCCGGCCCCGCGCACCACTTGCTGCCTTAGGTGCCTCGTGCTCTCTGGACCCAGAGGACCAGCCGACTTGCCAAGGAGCACTGCCAACGGGCTGGGTGCTCTGCCTGCCTGCCCTGGGCACTGCCCTGTGTACACCTCCCTGGCACCTTCCCAGGTGTGGGCTACTGCCACCCGTGTCCTCTGGCACCAGAGCGCCCACCCAGCCACTGGGTCCAACTACTGCAATTCTCTCCTCGCCCATGGGCGCCGGTCTGTGACCTGCGTGGGGTCCCAGCCCCTCTTCCCACCACGCTAGCCTTTCTCGGGCTGCACCAAAGATTCCATCAGGACCAGCCAAGGGGGTCGCCCACTTTCCAGCCTCCACCAGAGCGGGGGGCCTCCTGGACCGTGCTCCGCCCAGCGAGTGAGGATTGAGCCCATGATGTCAGATCTCGTAGGTGCCATCTGCATCCTGGGCTTCACAAGACCGCAAGAGACGGGTTGGGGAGGAGGGCCTGGGGGATGGGGAGGGCCATTGAATATTTGTATAAAAAGGAAAAAAAGTTTACTGATTGGGGAGGGGCAATATTTATTTGTTGTAAATAGCAAATGCTAGACTTGAATATTATATTAAAATCCTGTTTCTACTACAACCTAGTTGTGGTTTGGTTCATTTCTCGTGTTAATTTAAATGAGATAGAGCCTGTCACATTTCATTTTCAAATAAAAATATCTTGTAGAATTTTTCTTTCTTCTTTTCTTTTAGAGAGATTTTCTCTATACGGTACATGTGCTTGCCAGAGAGACAGAAAGTGAGCAGTCCCCCGGGGAGGCCATCTCAGTCTCTTCTCCCCACTCTCCTCTCGGGATTTTGGGCACAGATGCACATGCACCTGGCGTGAGCGTCAGGCTTGGGTCCAGGACTTACACCATACCTGGCCGTGGGGGAGTCCATTACACCATCTGCTGGTCTCAAAATCTTGTAGAATTTGCAGTTCTCAAGAAATTACAGGGCCCAGACCTGTAGCCTAGTGGTTATGGAAGCTGGATTCCACATCGCTGACCACCATTCAAATCCTGCCTCCAGTAGCTTGAGAAACACGGCAAGCCTGTGTGCCTGCATGCCCCGAACCCTGAGAGGGTGGAGAAACGGAGAAGGGGTTGAGTAATGACTGCCCCACTGAGGCTTTCCTCCCCCTCTGTCCCCCCGTCACTTTCTGATGAGCACACTTGCCCTCTAGCAGTTGAAAAAAAGATATTTTTTTCATTACAAAGCACACAAGGAAAATATGGCTCACTCACAGGGAAAAAACAGGATTTTATAGAAGCTATCCCAGCAGGAGCCCAGACAATGAAATTACTAGTCAAAAATGTTAAGTCACCTGTCTTAAATATGTTCAATGAACTAAAGGAAACCATAGCCAAAAAACATAAGGAAAATTAGGGGACCAGCAGTTGGCGTAATGGCTATGTCGCTGGACTCCCACGTAGTCAACCACGGTTCAAGTCCTGGACCCGGTGGCTTAAACTCACACCGGGCGCATGTGCATATGTGCCCAAGATCCCAAGAAGAGAATGGAGGAGAAGGGATTGCGACGTGGCCATCCCCCCAGGGGGTGATTTCTCGCTGTGTCTCTCTGTCTCTCTCTGTCTGGCGAGCGCATGTGCCCTATAGCAAAAACCTCTCCCCCCAAAAAATAAATAAATAAAAGTAAGGAAAATTAGGAGAATGATGTAAGAACAAATGGGAAATTTAACAAGGAGATAGAACTTATAAGAAGAAACTGAGTAAAAATTCTGGGGCCTGAAAAGTATGAGTGAAATGGGAACCAGCAGTTAGTGTAATGGCTATGTCGCTGGACTCCCACATAGTTGACTGCAGTTCGCGTCCCGGACCCAGTGGCTTAAAACTCACGCTGGGTACATGTGCGCACGTGCCCCAGATCCCGAGAGGAGAATGGAGGAGAAGGGATTGCGGCGTGACCATCCCCCCTGGGGGGTGATTTCTCGCTTTCTGTCTCTATGTCTCTGTCTGTCTGTCTGGCGAGCGCACACGCCCTATAGAGAAAAGTATGAGTGAAATGACAAAGCCCACTGGAGAGTTCAGCAGCAGATTTGAACACAGAAGGACTTGAACATCAGCCAGTTGAAATTCTGTCTGAGGAACAGAAATTTAAAATGAACAAAACTGGAGGTCCCTGTGGGATGCTAAAATGTACCAGCACTACACATAGTGGGAGTTCCAGAAGAAAACAGAAGATTATTTGAAGGGGCAAATGTTCAAAAACCTGTCTAATCAGGGCCAGCAGGTGGTGTGGTGGTTAAGGGCGCTAGGCTCCCACATGGCTGACTGTGGTTCAAGTCCTGGACCTTAAAGCTTGCTTTCTCACTCCCCCACCTTTTCACACTCTGTCCCTCTCTGGTCAAATTAAAATTAAAAAATTAAAAAACTTGTCAAACCTAATTAAAGATGTAAATCTAAACACCCAAAAAGCTCAGTGTACTTCAAGTGGGGTACACCAGGAGAGCCACACCAAAGCACATTGGAGTCCAGATCGTCAAAAGACAGAAAATCTTGAAAGCAGCAAGAAAGAAGTCATTCATTACGTGGAGGCGATCTTGAACAATGCCAAGAGCTGGTTTCTCACCAGAAACCATGTCGTCGTGGACCGGCCCATGGCCTAGTGTTTAAAGGTACTGGACCCCACCTGACTGGCCACATAGTCTGAGTCCTGGCCCTGGTCGCTTGAAGAATACTCCAGGTGCCTGTGCGTGTGCATGCATGCCCAAAATAGTGACGGGGTGGGGAAGGGGTTGTGCCATGGCCTTGCCCCACTGGGGGATGCTTTCTCCCTGTCTGGCAAGTGCACACACCCTCAACCAAATTAAAAGAAAAATGAGGAAAGAAATGACCACTAGAGGCAGTAGGATAGCGTTTAAAGTGCTAAAAGAAAAAGCAAAACGAATGAATGAATACATAAAAGTAAATCTTTAAGAAAAAAAAAAAGGATCAGCAGGTGTTGTGGTTATTGAGGCACTGGGCACTCCACATGGCCACCTGCAGTTTGAGTCCCGGACCAGACGGCTTTGTTCTCACTTTCCCTCTCCCCCTCTCTCTCTCTGTGTCTTTTGAAAATAAAAATGAATGAATAAATAAAATTAATTCTTTTTTTTTTTTTTTTTTAATAAAAACATCCTTTAAGGTTGAAGGGGAAACTAAGACATTCCCAGATAAACAAGAGAAATGCTAAATGGAGTCCTTCAGGCCGACATGAAAGGACCCTGGGCAGTAATGCAAAGCCACATGGAAGCCAAAAGAACATTTGAGTATCTGACAAGTACTGGGAGAGCCGGGATCGCTATACTTCTGGTTTGTAGCACCTCTTTTTCTCCTGTATTATTTTAAAGTAAAATTCATAGAACTAGTTATCAATCCCTCCATAAGGTGGGAGGCATGGAGATGTGTAAGAGCAGGGTTTGTATACTACAGGAACGAAATTGGTGTCATTCAGACTGGGTTATTAGAGGTTCAAGCTGTTAATCACAATCCTAAAGGTAATCACTGAGGAAGGAACTATAATAAAAAGTATACAGAAAAAGAAAGAAGCAGGTAAGCAAAATAATGCATGACTAAAACATTGTAAATCCATAAAAACGCATTTTGTCTGAATTGAGGAACTAGAAGCACATCCGGATGTACAGAAAACAAATAGCTAAATGGCAAAGAACTTTCAGTAATTACTATAAGTATACATGGGTTAAACTCTCAAATGGCAGAAATTTATAAAAAAAAAAAAGAACACTATGCTGTTCAAAGAGACTCACTTTGAATATAAGGATATAAAAAGGTCGAAAGGATGAAAAATATGCTGTGATCGAGAATAATTTATCTGATGAAATATATTTTAAATTAAAAAGTAACAAGGGACAAATTAAGGTCAGTATATATTGATAAAAAGCTCAAGTTACAAAGACAAGTAGTAAACACGTACACACTTAATACCATCCCCTATGAAGCAAAAACTGCCATTATTAAAGGGAGAAAAACACAGTTGGAGACTTCAAAACTTCACCTTTGACAGTGGATAGAAGGACCTAGAAGAAGAGCTATGGGGAACAGAGGGCTTGGGCAACACTGCAGATCAGTTAGATCTGGCAGACTTACAGAGCACACAGACCAACCAGAGGAGAGTACACGTTTTTTGTACAAGTGTTTTTTCTTTCATTCTTTTTTTTTTTTTTTAAGTCTTTATGTTCTTTTTTGTTTTGTTTTTGGTTTTTTTTTTTTTTTTTTTAGAGGTTTTTGCTATAGGGTACGTGTGGTGTGCGCCAGACAGAGAGACATAGAGACAGAAAGCGAGAAATCACCCCCCAGGGGGGATGGTCACACCGCAATCCCTTCTCCTCCATTCTCCTCTCCGGATCTTGGGCACGCATGCACACGTGCCCAGCGTGAGTTTTAAGCCA